ATAATTAATCTCATCGCCAACATTATTAAAATTTAAAGTACCTGGCTTGTAGCATCCTTGATCAACAGTTGTAGCATCCTGAACACCAGTCATCTTATCCCCATCATTATCCATAACATATGTTGTTGCATCTTGATCAACAGTCTTTTCCTTTAATTAATCAATATCATCTAAATTAAGCATCTTAGTACAAGAACCTTTACCTGTTTTGGAGTTCCCAACTCTACCACTTGTATACACTGGTAAGAAAGCATTAATTTTACTCCGAAAAAGTATAAAAGTGTCACACCCCCAAACCAGAACGGCGGAAACATTTGGGGGTGGGTGATTTCATTTACAATATCATAACAATTGAATAATAATGATCAAAGCCATACAACCATCGTATTGATAATTTATAAGTTTACATTGTATTCAAATCATTGTTTGCTTGATACCAAAATACATATGATATAAATATATGATGTAATGTTGCAGTGCTCCATCCTCAAAAACCGTTTTACCTATTTACTGATTTCCTGAGAATACAAGCAGTTTTGAAAACGTGTCAACAATTAATTTGGTGAGTTTATAAGAGTTTTGTATGAGAAAATCTACCATTTTTCCTTGTAAGGTGATAGAGTGTGGTTCCAGAAAATCCAATATTTTGTTGTAAGATAAGTTGTAGGTCTTAATCCTAAGACCAAAATGATAAGTAGTGTTGTACTAGAAAATAGTATAATGTAGTTTTATTATTATATAAAACTGATTGAAGGTAAGTTCGCCTCGTAAACCTAATGTATTGTTAATACCCCATGTGAGTTATTATAACCGTGCTAATGACTAGTTGGCTTACTACGACATTCTTCAGGTATCGGAATGTTAGACATTTCTCACCCTAGACCTGGCAGTCTAGCTATAGCTAACAACTTAGATGCGGGATTTTCAGTCCCTTATAGATCTATAGACAAGCGTCACGCTCTTTTACCGAGATTCTGGTTATAATTCAGGAACTTTAGTATGTACTTAAGCAAGTACGGTGAAGGCATGTCTCATAAAATTGTACTAGCAAGTTTACGCATAGTGTAATGAAAATTCTTTTGTAAGTGGAAAATTTTCCTTTCCATAGTAGTTTCGTAGTAAAAAATAATTATACCTTTAAATGATTATTTCTTTGTCCCGAGAGGGTAAACTAGTGAAAATGCCCCATAAACTATATTTATTGTAGTTTATAAAAATGTTTCGTTGACATGAAAAACCTTTGTACGAAATGTTATCATTTTTCCATGAAAAAAGAAATATGGAAATGAAATAATTATATTTGTATTTTTTATATAATTATGCACATTGCTCAACCTGTTACAAAGGTGATAAAGTTTCATAAACTATACTTACATAGTTTATTATAGCAATTTAAATTTGTACCCACTATATATATATATATATATATATATATATATATATATATATATATATATATATATGTTGGGTAAAAAATATGGTTTCTGCTTTACTTTTCTAGGCTTTAATAGTTTTCGGTTCATGTGGTGTGTGCGGTTAGAAGTGTTCAAGGCCCATGTGGGTGTTTACGGCCGTGAACTGGTTCACGGCCCTGAACCCATTCACGGACCATGTTCCATATAAGTAGATGTTAGATGGTAGTGGGAACATACGGCTAGGAGATGTGCTAAGTGTGTGCAAATCAAGGTATCCTAGAGAGAGAAACTAGAGAGAAGAGTAGAATATGTGTGAATCTAGTGTTGGATTATCGTTCATATCATATAAACATCATAGATTCATATTATGCTCTTCTTCTTCTTCCATATTTTGATCTTCCATCATCCAATTGATCGGGATTCGACACTATCAATTGGATCTGATTGATATGTCAAGCAAATTTGGGACTTACAGTTGGTATCAGAGCTTGGATTGTATTAATCAAATTGGAAAGATCTAGAGCGTTTTTGATATTTTTCTTGAGCAATTTTTCGTTTTTGGATAGTTTTTTGAAAAATATTAGGGGTTTGTTCTTTGAGTTTTTCATAAAAACGAGTTTTTGATCGATTTTTGGAGCAAAAATGAGGAGAATTAAAAATTTAAAAAACCAAAAAAAAATTAGAAAACCAAAAATCCAAAAGTAGTGTTATTTCTGTTTTATTTTTTCAGAAAAATCCAAAATTAATTTCATTTTTGTTTTTCTTTTTTTAAGAAAATATGAAAAATAAAATACAAAATATTGTGTGTTGAGTTTGTTTTTTAGTTTTTGTTTTTATCTCAAATTTTATTTGTCTTGAAAAGTAAATTCAGATGTAGATGAGACTCGTGGAAACTGTATCGAGAATTTCTCAGTCGAGGCTTCATTTGTGATCATTGAAGAATTCTCATTCGAAGGATCAATAAATAAATATTATTCTTTCAGCATTCAATCTTTCAACCGCAGAAGCAAGGTGAAGTTGTTCTTAAAGATTATGTGACAGATTGCATTGAAGCCTCCTCAATCAATTTGCTACTATCTATGAAGCTGATGAAGTGATCTAGAAGATTCGTTATCTCTGTTGTTCTCTCTGAAGATTCTCTAGCTAAAAGCGCCATTTTTCAAGAATCTTTACAAGAAGCTTCCTCACCCAGTGTGCGTTCAGAGTCAAATTTTGAAGAAATCCCCAACTGCTCAAGATGAAGTCTTTTATTGAAGATTCATCAAGTTCATCTTGAAGCTGTGAAAAATTTAAAGGTTAACACTGAAGCCAAGCTCCAAATGAAGATTGAAAAGAAAAGCCAGCTACTTTTTAGGGAGAGTTTGTTGGATCAATTCGAAAAGAAAGCTATAATCCAAGGGGGAGATTGTTGGGTCAAAATTTTGGTTTATACTTTACTTTTCTAGGCTTTAATAGTTTTCGATCCATGTGGCATGTGCAGTTAGGAGTGTTCATGGCCCAGGTAGGTGTTTACAGTCGTGAACTGGTTCACGGCCATGAACCTGTTCACGGCCCATGTTCCATATAAATAGATGTTAGATGGTAGAGAGAATATACGGCTAGGAGATGTGCTAAGTGTGTGCAAATCAAGGTGTCCTAGAGAGAGAAACTAAAGAGAAGAATAGAGTTTGTGTGACTCTAGTGTTAGATTATCATTCATATCATATAAACATCATAAATTTATCTTCTTCTTGTTCTTCCATATTTTGATCTTGCATCAAGAGCCATTTTTCAAGAATCTTTACAAGAAGCTTCCTCACCCAATGTGCATTCAGAGTCAAAATTTGAAGAAATGCCCAACTGCTCAGAATGAAGTCTTTTATTGAAGATTCATCAAGTTCATCTTGAAGTTTTGAAGAACTTAAAGGTTAACGCTGAAGCTAAGATCCAAATGAAGATTGACAAGAAAAGCCAGTTACTTTTTTGGGGGAGTTTGTTGGGTCAATTAGAAAAGAAATCTATAAACCAAGGGGGTGATTGTTGGGTCAAAAATATGATTTATACTTTACTTTTCTAGGCTTTAATAGTTTTTGGTCCATGTGTTGTGTGCGGTTAGGAGTGTTCACGGTTGTGAACTTTTTCACGGCACATGTTCCATATAAATAGATGTTAGACGGTAGAGGGAATATATAGCTAGGAGAGGTGCTAGGTATGTGCAAATCAAGGTATCCTAGAGGGAGAAACTAGAGAGATGAATAGAATGTGTGTAAATCTAGTGTTGGATTATCATTCATATCATATAAACATCATAGATTCATCCTATTCTTCTTCTTCTTCTTCTTCTTCCATATTTTGATTTTGCATCACCTAATTGATCGGGATTCCGCACTATCAATTCGATCTGATTGATACGTCAAGAAAATTTTGGACTTACAGTATATATATATATATATATATATATATATATATATATATATATATATATATATATATATATATATATATACTAGTAGCGTACCCGCGCGATGTGGCGGCAGCAATTTATTTCATTCCGGTGATTAGTTCCGAACAAAAATTACTGTCATTTCGGCGGTCGTCAAGTTGTTTTCTTTCAACTTGTTTCATTCTGACGATTTATTCATTTTGGCGATCAGTTGTCTTTAGACGGACAACAAATACTAATTTCCATCTATTATTATTTATCTGGTAGCGGACGTCGATCAGTTCTACGGTTTCAAATAGTTTGACGATGACCGAAAGAGGTGATGAAGATCCAGATAGCGGGGGAAGGTTTAGTTGTGATGAGCGATGGTGTTGACGTCACCATTGTCCGGTGTAGGAGAAGGATTGAAGATGGAAGAGTCAGAGAGAGTAGCTGAGAAAGTGATTATGGTTTGTAGAATATGTTTATATGGTGCATGTAATCACTCCGTTCGACCCAATAGCTAATTGATAAACCTATTTAAATTCTGAAAATTCATTTGCCCTTCCATGTCATCGATCTGTGTCATTTTCTCTTCTTTATGTCAGTTACTTCATTTTGGTCGATAGTTTCCTAACCGTGTATTGTAATTATGTATGTATTTCCTCAAGATGCATAATTATGTCTATTAGCTTGAATTAACATATTTAAAATATAGAAATGGATAATAAATAAATAATATATTTCATATGAATGTCTTGACAATATATACGACTTTTCAAAATTTTAAAGTTCAAATTAATTATAACTTAATAGTATTTAAGCAACTACATAATGTGTGATAACCATCCTATGAAATACTATTACACCATTGTTTTTGTTTGTTTTATTTGTTTGATAATCTTTTGTTTCAATGTAAACAAAGTTTGTGAAATTTGTGTAGTCAACACGTTGTCATTACCCCAAATGACAATAACTCTTCACAATTCATATCATTTAACAAACATATTGCACAATCTAAATCTTTACAATACCAAAAATATGTTTTGTGTCTCATTAGTTTACATCTTTTTAAACTGAATACATAGATCTTTAAATAAATTATCCAATCTAAATAACTGAGCATGTGAGAAAATCTAAACTAATCTTCTTAAGAAGATTTCCATTAAAAACCAAATTTCAGAGGCTTTGTATAAACTTTCTAAACTTCATAAAATCTTTTAAAACATGTGATACAACACAGATCTCATGCAACAAAAATGATGAAAAACGTACAACAATGAAAAAATAATACTTATATTTACATTAAAATCCAATAATATTTTTTGTTTCACATCAAATTAGAGAAAACATGGAGTTTTACCCAAACATTCGTTTCTCAAAGCCACAACACTTTATAGTGAACTCAAGGGGTGCATGTTGTATAATCTCCTCTAGAGTTTTTAACACTTTCTTATACACTTCCATCTCCTTCTGCAACCTTCTTGCCTCACCTTTCAGAAGCAAACAGTTTGATAACACTCTTTCAAAATTTTGGCCACGTATATAATACTTCCTACAATATGGCTTTCACTCTCGGAAACTTCTGCTTCGAGCATGGAAGCAAACTTTTCAGCATCAGCCAAAGGAACCACATGATTATACAACAACGATAAGTGTCCTTCTCCTAAAATTTCACCTTTCCAATGCCATCAATTGACAATTTTAACCAACAAATACAGAGGATCCGTTAAAGACAGAAAGATCAGTAAACTGGAGATAACAAGTTCATCAATTAACAATAAACCAATGCTAAAAGATTTAATCTATTACAACATTTTTACCTGTCACTTTGTCCATGATTAGTAACTAACCCAAAAAGTGTCAATCATAAATACCTAAACACATACAGAAAGAGGTTAGCATACACAGTAGAATATAAACACACAAATAGTTAGAGATATATTCAAGACACACACCATGAAATAAATCATATGCCTAAAAAACGCAAATGTTCCAAATCCACATCCATAAAAACAACGCATGCACAAAAATTATAAATTCTTAAAACAATATCTTATATGCGAAAAAACTCAAATCCATTCCCTTGCTTCCCATAACAAAACAAACATTGCTTTCAAAAACGATTCTAGCAATAAAATCATAAAGTCCAAAATTAAATTAACAAAATAATAAATAAATGAAACAGAGTAAAAAACCTCAATTTTAAAAGCACCAGATATTATTATGAGTAATCCCTTTCTCCATCTAGTCAATTAGTCTTCTAGACTGCATCAAGAAAAAGTCATCATATGTCAAAATCGAGACCGGCAACAACAATAATTGGAAAATAGAAAGATTGAACATCAATTTTAATCGTGAGGGAAGATATGTGAGAAGCAGCAGGTCGTGGTGGTCGTAGATATGGGCCTTCTTCAGATGTAACAGCGATGCGAGCACATGTGTTTGTAGAACTATTGAAGCGGTGTCAGGTTCTAAAGAGGAGCAGTTGCGCCGGTTTAGAGAAAATGATGGTGGAGGGTAAACGATTGTGGTTGTTGGATGTTTTAGTGGTGGATTGGAATTTGACGATGTCGTGACTGATGGGATCGAATGTTAGATGATGTACAAGAGAGGGGGGCTTAGAGAAATAGTGTATTAGGATTTTTTGTGTTTGAAATCTTGGCATTCGAGAGGAATGCTTTAAAGATATGCAGGAAATGAAGGGAGAACGGAGCCTTCAAGGCAAAATAAGGTTTTTGAGGAGATGCAGGGAGAGAGAGAGAGAGGTAATCTAATTTTAAAAGGGGGGAAAGGGAATGAGACCTGGAGTAATTGGGAGACGAAGGGCTCGATCCGTGTGAATTGTATTTGGCACCGTTTGATTGTAATGGACATCGACGGGTATTGGTATAAGAATGGCGATCCGTGTGACATCCCCACCTGGTCCAGGCAGGGAAGAGAGTCTTTCGGCTCTCAAGGAGATCGTGGGCTTCTTTTTGTTTGCGTTCGGCTTCTGCAGCCTCTCGCGCCACACGACTGGCATCTTCATCAACCTTGCGACTGTTCTTTCGTTTTAAAATGTCAGCAATGGTCTCCTTGTCGCCTTCTTCATCTTCTTCCTCAGCTATGTTTTTGCCTTTGTCCTTCACACCCGAGCCAATAGCTTGATCAGTCTGAGATGGTTCGGTCGTGTGAGTAGCTTTGGAGGAAGGAGGTGGTTTTGATCCTGTCTTCTCATCTCCCCCTTGTTTCGGAATGGACACGAAACTTGGGAGCCCTTCTACTTTGTTAAGAAGATCGATGGCTGGAGAGAGTTTTTCAGCAAGGGAACGCCTCACCGAAAAGTTTAAGATTGGATCGTGTGCTTCCAGAATGTTGGATATAGCAGCGTGGACATCCGAAACACACGTCTTGACCACCTCCCTTTCGGATCGAAGATCTTCCAGTTGTTGTTGGGATTGGGAGAGTTGAGTTGTCTTGACCTCAAGGGCAGTTGTTTTGGTAGCCAGATCGTCAATTAACGAACGCTCGGTTGCAAGATCCTCTTGTAGTTTGGCGAGGCGAGCATCAATGGAGGCACGAAGGGCCGAGTTGTCGTCGCTTATGTTCTGGCGGAGAGTAGCGAACGAAGGCAACTCCGATGAGACAAAGTTGGCCAATTGTTGAACAATTGGTTCCAAAGATGTCTTGGTGGCATTGGCACTTTCCTGCATGGACTGCAGCAGGGTAGAAGCGTCAGAAAATAGTTTATCGACTTTTTCGGTCGCTTCCTCACAGGCTCTGGTAGAGGCTTCAATCGCAGCAGTTGCTGAGGCCGCCGAATCATGTTGAGCCCTGGAGAAGGCATCAACAATCTTCTGAAGGGCAGCTTCAGGAAGAGAGGATTGCTGGTTGGAAGAGGAGGCGAGAAGTAGGTCAATCTTCTCGTTGAGCTCTTTTAGATGCTTCTTTGTTACTGGAGCATCATCCTCCTCGTCACTTTGAACTTGAAACGGACTATAGTAGACCGAATCAAAGATCATATTTTCTCCACCAAGATAAGGGTTTTCGCCCTCAGATGCATTTTCAGGAGATGAAGGGGTGGTGAAGTTGGGGGTGTTGTGGGTTTGGAAGGATCGGGTTGAGTGGGTGTTGGTAGAATTTTGGTTGGTGGTTGAGTATGGGTAGTTTCAGTTGTTTGGGTTTTGGTTTGAGGTGGTTCGGTTACATGTGGTGATTTGGTTGCAGTTGTAAAGATTGGAGGAGGGGAAGGAATTGGGGAAATGGGAAGTTCCATCTCTGGGGTAGGGGACCGAGGTGGTGTGTTTCCTTGTTGAGGAGATGCGTCTCCTTGAGAGTCGTCAGAACCCGAACTCTCACCCTCAGAGTCACTCGAAGAAGAGGGAATTACAAGCTTTCGCTTCGGTTGGGTCTTCCTCTTCTTCGGCGGTGGGGATTGTGCGGCTTTCGGTTGTTTCCGCTTTTTAGGAGAAGGTCCCTTTGGACCTTTGGACGTTTGCTTCCCTTTTTCTGCCTTTTTGCCCCTGCTCACCGGTTTGTCTGCATCGTGAATTGACTTGAGCATATCCGGGGTCAGTTCCCTTGGACCAGATGGCCTTAGCTCCTTGAGCTTCCGAATCAACCTGCTATCAGATGGCACATCGCCATACATTGACTCCGGGATAGAGCCAATGAAGGAGAATTTTGATGCATCTGAGACTATGATCTTCTTGGTATGGAAAGTACCAACAGAAGACATCGATGCACCATCAGCAATAGGAACATCAAATCTATCCATGGCCCATTTTGTAATCAGGATCCAGAATCGGGCCAACGAGACTTCAGAATGTCGGGATGAAGAGGAGAGGCTTTGAATAAGTTGTTGCCATAGGACAAACCCATAGTCCAGGTTAATCCCATTGTAAACCCCGTACATGATGGTGAGGAAGAGACGACTTGCACCATCTGATCCTGAACTTCTCTCCGACAAGCCCTTGAAAAGGACTGTAAATAGACCGTTCCACTGTGGCGGCAGGCATGACTTTTTGAATCTTGCGACAGAGGTAAGAACTTCTGTGTATCCCATGTTGTAAAACATGTTATACAGATGACCAATCTGTATCGACTCCGGATGAATTCTTGAAGGGTCAACAGCAAACCCTAGCAAGGTGCAGAAACGTGGGCGAGAGACGGAGGTTTTGTGTTCTCCCATCTCGAAGAACACCCGGTCGACGGCCTTGTCGTAGTATGCAGTCGCGTAGACCTGCGATAGGGCCACCATCGGCACCGATTCGATTCTGGAAAGAGCCGGAACAAGTTGGGAATACTTCAAACACTCTATGACCGGCGACATATAGGAGTCGTACGCCAGTGGGTTAAGATCAATGACCAGACATTGTTGTGGGCGAATGGGAAGGATCTATGAGGTAGCATGAACAGAAGAGGAATCATCCATTGTTGTAGGTATGAAGAAGATGATGAACAGGAAACTGTTTGGGAGTATTTGCGTTCTGGAAATTTTGAAGGTGGTAAAGAGGTAAAAGGTGGTGTAGAGGGCTATTTATAGTGGGTGATAGGAGAGAGAAAAATCGTTTCAAATCTCTTATGGAAATTTGAACCGGGTTGTTGAGTGACAGATGGATGACAGTTGGGGCGTGCGATGATCACGTAGGAGAGAGAGTGTCAGGTTCCTAGGATCATGCCGCCCAACAAGCGCCGTTTCATGGGGACAAGCCGTTACTGTTTCCACACGCGCATTTAATGTCACAGGACAAGAGAGAACTTAAGGTTTTAAAAGTGGATTCCTGTTAAATTACGATCAACCATTTATTAAGAAATGTTGAAAGGCTTCTTTTAATTAGGCTAAATAAGAGTGGCTTGAAAAGAAATAAAATCTCATAAAGAAAAATAAGAACACGATCCCAAGGGAAGAAATGTTTTGGGTTTTAACAATTTCATAGGAATCACATAAAATTGGAGATTTTAATAGGGTACTTTCGTCAATTCTGTAGTGAAAACTTGAGCAATTTAATTGTTCACCGTCAATTCATTAGGTGTGGAATTTTGGGTTTCACTTAGTTCGTAGTGACACAATACTAAGATCATAAACACAGATGTTGTGTAACCATAAACCTCAGTGGTAATTTCTGAGAGTCTCAAGGGTTACTATGATGGAATGAGTGTAGTGAAGAAGTAATGTGGAGATGGTGTAAGAGAGCGAAGTACCTCTGCTGCGAAAAGAAGGACCAAGTAGGAAACTCTTAACTCATGTGAGAAAAGAGTGAGGTAGCTCACGATTAGAATAAATGAGTTGGCCTTATTGGGAAGACAAGGTTTGTGTATACCAGGTCATGAGGGCCATTATTCAAAATCTTATGAGGCTTGAGACACATACAGCAGCATGCTTCTAGGGACACTTAGGTATTTCATCAAATTTATCCCCATAAACGAACACGAACACACAAGAAATGAAATAAAAAAAAAAATATTTTTGGAGTTTTTGAGATTAAAAAAAAAATAAGAAAGAGGAAAAGAAAAAGAATAAGACTTAAAAAAAAAACTTTAAACAACTTTAAAATTTGACAAATGAAAAACCGAACCCGAACATTCAGTTGGTTTCGGTTGTTGAAAATTTTGAAAAACCGAACCTGAACCTTCGGTTGGTTTCGGTTCTAGAAAATTCTGAAAAACCGAACCCGAACCTTCGGTTGGTTTCGGTTCTAGAAAATTTTGAAAAACCGAACCCAAACGTTCGGTTGGTTTCGGTTCTTACGTTTGAGTTTGAGAGATAGTGTGAGGTACTGACTCTGATTCCATCATACCTAGTCCTTGCAATATTTTATTGAATGATGCTTCAGGAAGAGTTTTTGTAAAGACGTCAGCCAGTTGATCAGTGGTTCTTACGAAGTGAACTTCGACGTTTCCATCTTCCACGTGATCTTTGATGAAGTGATACCTCAGTGCAATGTGTTTGGTTTGGAGTGTTGCACTGGGTTATGACAGATCCTAATTGCACTTTCAGAGTCACAATATAGTGGGATCTTCTTCATATTGAGTCCGTAGTCTCGAAGTTGACTTTGGATCCAAATCACTTGTGATGTGCAGGATGCAGCTGCAATGTATTCCACTTCGGCAGTAGATAGCGACACGCACGTTTGTTTCTTGGATTGCCAGCTAACTAACTTCCCGTCAAGAAATTGACAACCACCAGTTGTGCTTTTACGGTCGAGTCCACATCCTCCAAGGTCAGCATCAGAATAGGCTTGAACAAAGAAGCCTGAGTTGGATGGATACCATAGACCTAAGGAGGTGGTTCGCTTGAGATAGCGTAAGATGTTCTTCACTGCAAGCATGTGAGGTTCGCGTGGGTTTGCCTGAAATCGAGCACAATAACACACAGAAAACATGATATCAGGTCTGCTAGCAGTTAGATACATCAGTGAGCCAATCATTTGACGATAGAGCGTGATATCGACAGCCGGTTTGTCTAGGGATGAGGTAAGCTTGGTGCCGAATGCCATTGGGACTTTGACTTTTGTGTCTCCCATCATACCAAACTTTGCTAGGAGAGTCTTCATGTAAGCTTCCTGATTAATAAAGATGCCTTCGGGTCCCTGTCTTATGTTTAAACCAAGGAAAAAGTTAATAGGACCCATTGAGCTCATTTCAAACTTAGTCTCCATCAGCTTTCTGAATTCAGCTGTTAAGTTGGGATTCGTGGAGCCAAAGATGATGTCATCGACATAAATTTGAACTATCATAAGGTGGTTACCTTCCTTTTTGCGAAAGAAGGTTGGGTCAACCGAACCTTGTTTAAATTTAGACATCTTTAAAAATTTTGTAAGTGTTTCATACCAAGCCCTCGGAGCTTGCTTGAGGCCGTACACAGCTTTATCCAGAATATAGCAATGATTTGGATGCTTTTCGTTCACGAACCCGGGAGGTTGCTCCACGTACACAGTTTCTTCGAGTTCTCCATTGAGAAATGCACACTTGACGTCCATTTGGAAGACCTCAAAGTTCTTGTGAGCAGCATAAGCCAAAAATATTCTAACAGATTCTAGCCTAGCTACTGGAGCGAAAGTCTCTTCATAGTCTATCCCTTCCTCCTGACAGTATCCCTTTACCACCAGACGAGCCTTGTTCCTTATAACATTACCTTCCTTGTCCATTTTGTTCCTAAAAACCCATTTGAGACCAACAACCGAAGCATCTGGAGGAGTTGGAATGAGGCGCCAGACTTTGTTCCTTTCAAATTCGTTCAGTTCATCTTGCATAGGTTGAACCCAATCAGAGTGATCTAGGGCAAAGTTAACTGTCTTCGGTTCAACTTTTGATACGAATGAGTTAAACATACAAAACTCAACTTTTGAAAATAAGGATGTCTGTTTTGCCTTCAGTTGTGATCGGGTCAGAACCTTTTCAGATACATCACCAACTATTTGAGAAATAGGATGATCTCTGGTCCATTTGATAAGAGGAGGATAATTCGGATCAAAGGTTGGGTCTAGTTCAGCATTAATTATTTCTTCTGGCTCAGATTGGCTATCGTAACCGAGCGTCATATCATTATATTCCCCTCAATTGATGAGCTTTGAAAAACATGAGGTTCAGGTGTTTCTTGTGGTACTGAGCTTCCTGGTGTTGAGGCCTCTTCGGTTGATGAAGGACCTTCGGTTGAAGATGTAGAATTTAGCTCCCCCTGGACTTGTGAGCTTGTCTCCCCCTCGACTTGAGCGTTGTTGGATGGAGAGTCGTTAGTGGTTGATTCTCCTTCATGCATTCTTCTTGCAGCATCTTCGACAATCTGCTTCATGTGATCAACTTTGTTGTCTGCTGCACCTGCTTCGGAGAGTGAAGCGTTCTCCGGTTCGTCAAAGAGCTCCAGAAATGTCTCGTATAAGTTGGCGACCGAGACTGTGACCTGGCCAGTTAGAGGAAAGATTTCCCCAGCAGTGTCTTCTTTAGCCTGTAGCTTCTTGACATAGTTGTCGTCAAAGGTCACATAGTATGTCTCTTCAATCTTTTTCGAACGCTTGTTTAGGACCCTGTATGCCTTGAATGTGAGCGAGTAACCCAGAAAAATTCCCTCGTCGGCTTTGACATCAAACTTGTTGCGGTGTTCTTTAGAATTAAAGATGAAATACCTTGAGCCGAACACATGGAAAAATTTCACATTTGGCTTTCTGTTGTTTAGAATCTCATATGGAGTGAGCGCGAACCTCTTGTTGAGATAGGACCGGTTCTGTGTAAAACAAGCAGCCGAAATAGCGTCAGCCCAAAAATAAAGAGATAAGGAAGCGAAACTTAGCATAGTTCGGGCAGCTTCACACAAAGATCGGTTCCATCTTTCGACTATTCCGTTTTGTTGCGGTGTGTAGGGAGCTGAGAAATTGTGACTAATTCCCTTTTCTGCAAGAAACTCTTCAAAATCCATGTTCTTGAATTCGAGACCATTGTCGCTTCTGATGTTGCGAACAACCTTCTTGAGCTGTACTTCAATTTGCTTGATAAACACTTTCAGCTTTTGAGTCGCTTCAGATTTGAGCTTTAGAAAGAACACCCATGTAAATCGTGAAAAGTCATCAACAATAACAAGAATATACTTGCTACCACCGATACTTTCGATAGATGAAGGACCACACAAATCGATATGAAGTAATTCGAGTGGTTCAACAACTTTTGTGTTGATTATAGATGGGTGACTTTGACGACTCTGCTTCCCCATTTCGCATGCAGCACACAAATGATCTCTGTCGAACTTGAGCAATGGAAGACCCCTAACATGACCTCTAGTGACAAGTCGGTTGATATCTTTAAAATTGAGATGAGAGAATCTTCAGTGCCACAACCAGCTTTCGTCGGATTGAGATTTCGACAACAAGCATATAGCTGGGTTTCCTTTGATGGGTTTAAGGTTTAAGGGAAACATTTCACCCTTTCGCTCTGACTTGAGAATCACTTTCTTTGACTTTTTCTCTATGACTTCAGAACCTTCATCATCGAACGAGACTTTGAGACCTGTACCTCCAACAAGCTGAGATACACTAATGAGGTTGTGTTGGAGTCCTTCCACATAAGCCACCT